CAACGCCCGGCCATTTTTTGGTTGCAGCCATCATTGTTGTTTGGCGGGCCCGGGCTGGGGATTCGAACCCGCCACCTTAGGTGTACATGGCTGGCACCTTAGCCGGCTGAGCTATAGGAGCCGAGCCTTATTAAACTTTTAATATGAATTCATCAATTGAAAAAATCTATTAGAACATGTAATTTATTTTTTGAATAATATAGTCTGAGGACTTGTTTATATTTGTTCAAAAAATATCTATTGAACGGCCACTATATGCCAGACACTGTGGGGAGCGAAATAGATGTAGTCTCTGTCTAGTTATGGCAGTAAGTCTATCTGGGAAGTCTCACAAGAAAGAAATAGTCACATGAATAACTATATAATTGTAAGTTGTGATAAGAGTTATGTAGAAAGAGTACAGAGTTCTTTGTGAAAGTTGTGGGAACTGATTTATACAGTAGGGATTATGGAAGGCCTTGGAACCAGCGACATTTAAACTGAAAAGTGAAAGAATATGAAGTGAAAAAATTGGCCAGGCAGAAAAAGCAGCATGGGCAAAGGCAGGGAAGAGTTTGTTGAGAAGTTGAACCCTGTATGGGTAGTTTAGTGAGAAACAGTGCTGGGAGAGCCTCAGATGGGAGGATATCAGCAGGAACAATAGAAAAAATATCCCTAGAAAAATCCAGCATAGAAAAACAGTATAGTTTTGCACCATAGCTCATGCCTGGAATCCTAGAACTTTGGGAGGCCAAGATGAGATGGTTGCTTGAGGACAGGAGATGGAGATTGCAATGAGCTTCATGCCACCACTGCACTCCAGCCTGGGCAATAGAGGCTCCATCTTAAACAAACGAACAAGCAAACAACCTACCCCCAACCCCAACAAACAAACAGACAAAAAAAACAGAAAAAAAGAAAGAAAGAAAGAAAGAAATGCTGTAAGTTTACATCTGTTGTCTTAATTAATCCTCACCAGAAGTGTGTGAGGTAGAGATGGCAAGCATAATTATGGTTATTTTTATTATTGAGGATTAAAGCTCAGATAGGGACAAAGTTATGCAGCTTTTTGTACCATGGTTCACATCAGAGAGGCAAAATCTGTGGGCTTTCTGGGAAGTCCTAAGGGAACAGGTGGAATGAAGTAGAAAAGACCTACCGCTATGCTGTATGAATATCTGAAAGAAGGCTGTGAACTATAGACATCCAACAGTATGTGCTTCTTGGTTGCCACTCTGCGTCTCTCTTTCAGGGATCTCTGTGTCAAGACAGAAAACGAGTCTTACATTTTAGGGACTATCAAAATCACTAGTTCTTTTTTTTTTTTTTTTTAAGAGACAGAGAGTCTCATTTTGTCGCCCTTGGTAGATTCAGGCACCTGCCACAAGGCCCGGCTATTTTTTGTTACAGTTTGGCTGGGGCTGGGTTTGAACCCACCACCCTTGGTATATACGGCCGGCGCTCTACTCACTGAGCCATGGGCGCCGCCCGTCGTCGCCAGTTCTTTAATTCTGAGATTTACATATTGGAAAAAATCTGAGCGTGGGGTGGGGATTTCTGACTTGTGCCCAAAGATTGGTGGAATCCCAAGATGAGAAACTACAACTCCCGGCAGGCCTCGGGGCTGGGTCTTCCCCCCACCCCCTTTTTCCGCCAGTGTTGGGGGCGACCAATGACGGTTAGTTATTTGAATAGACCAATAATATCACGAAACTGTTCAGGTTGAGGCGGGGCGGTCAATCCATCCAATCGTATAGAAGATAAGAAAACATTAACCAATCCAAAGGCGCGGGGGCGGAGTCAAGGGTGAGGGCGGTGAAAGAAGTTTGCTGGAGAAGATGGAGACTGAGACGCAGAGTGAAGGGGAGGTGCCAGCCACCAACTCCGGTCGTAGGTGAGCCGAATTCTTGGTCCAGCTGCCTGGGAAGTGAAGCCGTGGGCTGGTCATTCTGCCCTCCGTCCTTTGGGTCACGATGACCTATGGGCTGGGCTTCGTTCCTTCCTCCCACGGAGTTTCTCACCGTCGCGTCTGCGGGGGCTGAGGCGCGGTGGCCCAGCCCCTTCCCTGGGCTCCAGCCCGGCCTGCGCTGGGTCCGACTAATGCCCGAGGGAGGTCCACTTGGGGTTTGGCCACAAACTGACCAGCGGGAGGTGGCAGTGCTGCCAGATTTGCGCCAGTACTCGTCTCGATGGCCAGGAAACCGAAACTCAGAGCTGTTTAGCGAATTGCCCGACGTCACGCAGCGCTTTTAATCTCCGGGGTAGTTTGTACGTTGAATTCAGAGCAAGGATTTGAGTGTCAATTAGAAATGGCTGTGAGGCTTTGGGCCGGTTGTTAGACCCTCTTTTCAGCTTCACTTTCTTCATCTATAAAAAGGGACATAATGTCTGTTTCAGAAAAATGTCACATTGAATAGACAGTCCATTTAAAGCTTCTGACACTGAGCCTAGCGGATAATAACTCAGTACGTGATAGATTTTCATTTT